AGCTCCATGTTCCCATTGCTTCGGCGACGGTTGTCTACTGCGACAATGTCAGCGCTGTCTACATGACAACCAATCCCGTTCATCATCGTCGCACGAAGCATATTGAGATTGATATTCACTTTGTCCGTGAGAAGGTCGTCTTGGGCCAAGTACGGGTCCTTCATGTGCCGTCCTCTCACCAGTTCGCAGACATCATGACCAATGGCCTTCCTGTACAGCTATTTACTGAGTTTAGGTTCAGTCTATGCGTCCGGGATCCTTCCGCTTAGACTGCGGGCGGGTATTAGGCAAGTCTATGTGTGATTAGCCATGATTATCACTTGCTATGTATATTCCTTGTATACCTAACCATACTGGCTATATATATATATATATATATATATATATATATATATATATATATATATGAAGGTCACTCCCATATTGGGTGTGAGGTGTGTCTCTACACTTAGAAATAAGAATGCCTGCCTAGCACACAACTTCATCGAATCAGTGACACAGCTAGCACCAGGCAAACCTCATCTCCTGAGCACCGAGTTCACTCCATCCTGAAACATGCGCACAACAAAACATCTCCCCCACGCCATAGGGCATAGCTGTTGATTCCTGGGCTCCTGGCTCGCCTTCTCCTATCCTACCAATCCACGATTCACGGCCAGACGACGTGCTGTGTTGTGCTCGAAAACCACCCACTAGACGAGGACCAACCGTTACACCAGAACCCTGATCAGATCAGAAGATTAGCTGCCCAAAAGCGAACAGGGATCTAAGCAGGCGGTTGCCGGTCCGTGGCTCCACGGAGACACCCTGGGGCGTCGGGGACAAAACCCCTTAGACCCCGGCCGACACAAGCCGGCAGCAGCAGCAGCGAAACCCAAACCCCACGAGGCCGCAGGAGAGCGGAGGATGCGGGAGATCACCTGCGGAGGACGACGGCGCTTCTCCTCCCGCGACGCCGCTGCCGCTCTCCTCGCCCGCCATTTATACACCGACCGGCCCGCGGACGGACGCCGCGTCGGCTGCTTCTGGAGAACCGCTGCGGTCGCCTTCAAGTTCAAACTCTTATTGATTTTTGACAAACAATTATTTAAATTATATATACTTACAAGTGACGAATATCGCGTCCACAAATTCACATTCCACACTTTTTTGGGGGTATAAATTGATTTTATAGTAATTGATTGATGTTCAAAATTTTCTTCTAAATCTTATAAAATATCATATTTAAATGGATTTTATAGTAATTGATAATGACGGCCACAAAACATATGGTCAATGCCATCGAGCTATAGCTGGGCACACGTATATCCTGGAGAAACCTAACGTTTACCAATTTCTCGTAAAGCTTTATATATTGCGAATGGTAACCCCAATGGCTATACATGTTCCAAACGAGCTTAAGGGCATGTACAGACAGGTATACACTAACGCACACCAATGCTGTTATAGGTTATCATTACCATGACAATTGACTAATGCATTTACCGGCCAAATCTGCAGACCTCATAAGTCCTTGCACTGATATTTGATACTCCTATTACACTGGCATCTGATATATTTATTTCATAATGTAGCAGTAGTACTGATTATTACAGAAGTTTTCCACGCATGGCAAAGATGTTAATCCAACTGCACCTTGCGTTGCAAGGTACCACAGACGACGAAACACTCACGGAAATGGGTAATGCCGTTTCTCCTAAGATGCAGCAGATCGCTCTCAAACACCAAACATCAGGCTGAACTTGGTGGCGAGAGGGACGGATATGATGGCAACTCCCAATGCGACACCGAAGATTCGGTGCGAGATAGAGAAAGTCGCGCTGAACTGCGGCTTCTTCAGAGGAAGGTGGGGCGACAGTGGGCGGTTTGCAACAGGAGCTGACAGGGGGCGACTTGTGTGCAGGGGTCGGCTTCCAGGTGCAGACATCTTGGGCCGCAGAGCTGCTAGGGGGGAAGATGTGTAGCCCCTGGTTTGCTCAAGATTTGAGCTCAAACTACCAAGAGCACCTGAAAAAGATGAACGGCACAAATTTATAAGGGCTAATTATACATAATGAACTGCAAACTTTTATAGTGTCATAACTGAGAAAAAAAAGAATACTCTGTGATACATCAAGAGGGACATCTAACTGCATTTCACCAAAGAGTATATAAAGAAACATTAACTATAGTGCATTCAGATATGTACACCAAACTATGCTTCTAAATGAAAACGAAATACGTAACAAATTATTAATGCTATGAGGCATGCATGAAGTGTTGCTTCAAGGTAAGGAAGAACACTTGTTACTATATGTTGTAAAATGACCAGAAAGATATGACCTCTATTGGCCTTCCCTTATCCTTGTGCTATGATGGACCGAATACTAGTGAACATCTCAATTATAAGCCCCTAGCTTCCAGAATGAAAGGCTATAGAGTCGTTTCGAGCCTCACATTACAGCACATCCTGAATGACATAATGTAGTTGGAAGGATGACAGTGTGCCACAACTATCTTCTAATGGGTCCCATGTCTCAATGTAATATTGACTTGTCTTGAAATTACAACAGGACAGAAAACATATAACAAATCAGCGCAGGAGTTTTTACCACGGAGAGCAAATGGAGTATGTCTCAAGGGTGCATATCGAGTGTTGCTGTTACACTTCTCCATTGCTGTGCAGCAACCAATAAGCATTAGCATCAACACAGTTTGCAAAAGAAAATTTTGAGCAATGTAGAAACATTAAGTAATTGTCAATTAAATTAGAGAATGTCAAAATAATTGCCTAAAGAACTTGATTGTTTAGAACAACTCAAGGAATATTTCAGCAATTTTTCTCTTCTTAATATAATGATACACAGCTCTCCTACGTGTTCAAGAAAAAAAATTCAGCAATTTCGAGACACTAGCCAAACTCTATTTTTAACAACATGAAATATCAAAATGAAGGATCAAAAATAAAAGATATATTGCAGTTCACAATTGACAATCCAACACAATATCTTAGCTTTCTCATTATGTGCACTGTGACTACAGTTTGATGGCATAGAGAACATAAATTTGAGCATATTAACATATTGAATTTTCTAAGCACTTTACTCATATTTAAAGAGCCTAGTCTGTCCAAAAGTCCAGATACACATACATTCTTAAGCAAAAGCATCAGTTGTCAATTTGTCATACAATTGAACTATTGTAGATAACTGAAGCAAACTACATTTGTCTATCCTAAGTCCTGTGGACTCAAATGTATGAAGAGGGGGAAAAACAAAATTAGAGCCCTAAGATTTTCTCATACAAATAAAATTGAAGGATGCAACTTATAACTACAATTACAGCAGTGAACTTTCGCATATCATGATTGAAACAATGATAAACCACGGTATCATTAGGGATTTGCACAAAGCCAACTATCCATAAGAACATGAATTATTCTTGCAAATTTCAATCCTAATACATATGTCATATCAGGGTAAGACTTAATATGGGGAATGGAAGATTCAATTAAAGGGTGTAACCAGTGCAGAGAGCTCCCGCTCTGTGTGGGGTCTGGCGAAGGGTGTCAGTGGCAAGCTTTACCCTCGCCTGTGCAATGTGAGGAGACCGCGACTCGAACCCGGGACCTTCCGGTCACAGGCGGTAAGACTCTACCGCTTGCACCAGGCCCGCCCTTCGAATGGAAGATTCAATTCTGGGAGAGAAAAAAATCTGTCAAGAAGTCCAGATACACAAATTCTGGGAGGAAAAAAATCACATCGAGATGACCCACAGCAACACCAGGTGGATCAGAGTATTCATCCCAGGAAGGAACATTAGGACCTCACCTGACATTACTGGCCTCACAGAAAAGAAGAGCTTCTAAAGAACAATGGGAGCTATCCAGTGAAGGAAGGTAGTGCTTCCTTACTGACAATAGAAGCAACACTACATTGCTGTGGCAGAGTGGCAGACATGCAAGTTATGAAAGTTTTGTGTGTCAACGCTGCTGAATTATCACAAACATTACACTATTGCTTGGGGGTGAATGAAAGAGCAAAATACCCAAAACATTCTACCCACAACTAGATCAGTAGTTTTTGTTCACTTGGTATTACTTTAGACACAATTACACAAATTACACAAAATTATTGGGGACAGATTGTTTATGCCATGATTGCCACAAAATTTCACTCAGTGTGTGTAAAGATCTTTATACTTTGTAGGATCATAATTACTTCGACAACGTGTCTCCAAATTCAGCATGACAGTATTATTATACTACTAGTTTTAGGCCTGCAATTCTTAGTAGCTGCATATCAGAGTGCTCAGTGTTCATTAAATTTTGATAAGCACTAGGCTGTAATCCTTAGGACATCACACTGAGTCGCTGATAAACCACAGTATCAAGATTGAAGGATGCAACTTATAACTACATTTACAGCAGCGATCTTTTTTTCTCTATATACTTCACAAGTCACAACTCTACCAACACAGCATCCATCGCCGCCTAAGATCAGATTTATAAATCCATCCATCGGATGAATCTACGCCAGCTTACATCTGCACCCAACCTAACCAAATCGGGGGCTGCGACTGGACGGATCGCGTTATCATAGATTCATAGCATATACTCGAAATAGCAAATCAAAATCAAACGAAGAACGCGATCCATATTGGGACGGGATGGATCGGGATGAGAGGTACTCACTGGGCTTCTCCTGCTCACCGCTAGCCCGCGTGGTCGTCGCCTCCGTTCTTCCTTCGCCGCCGCCGCCGCCGATGGACGGAGATGGTAGGTGGGTCAAGTGTCTAACGGTGGTGGAGAGCGAGCTGCGGACACAGAGGATGGGAGGACAGAGGAGGGGTGTTCTGGGCCCAACTGTATAGACAAATGGGCCAAACCCATTACGAACTTCCTATTTCAGCCCACGGGTCAAATGGGCAGAAGAAGACTATGGGCTTCTAGCATTTTGTGGAGAGCGAGGGTGAGCCGTCCCGTTCCAGAACACTCCCGCACGAGCGAGCGCGCTACTGCCATGGCGAGCGGGAGCGGCGGCGCTGCGGCGCGGATGGACCCGGAAGCGGCAACGGAGCTGGTGCGGAAGGGTGCCACCCTCCTCCTCCTCGACGTCCCCCAGCGCACCCTCTTCGGAATCGACACCCAGGTCGGTGGGATTCGGCCCCCAACGATCCCGTCTCGTCTCGTAGCGAGCTGCTTGGTGCGTGCGTCAAACAATGTGACGGGTTTTCACCTCTGCCTGCTTCTCGTTCGTCTGCAGATGTTCTCTGTTGGGCCCAAGTTCAAAGGGATGAAGATGGTGCCCCCGGGGCCCATTTCGTTTACTACTGCTCTCCAAACAGGTATCAGTATCCGCTAGCTACAAGTCCCGATTCTTACAACATTTCAACTACCAATTATTCGGAAATAGTGTCGATGGTTTGTGTTGAGAACGCCAACTAATTTTTCAGTACATGAATCGGTTTCCTTTTTTTGAATCAGTCACTGTCAGTTGTGCTACAAATCCATTGTTCTAGTTTGTCAGATGGAGGTATTGTGCAGAATTAACCCAACATCTTACTTAGAGTTTGAGTTCCTTTTTAATTGGCATGAACAAGTGACTGTGATGCTACTTTTACCATGGTGTGCTCACAATCTTAGTACTTTGGAAGGGACTTTGCTATATATGAGACAAAATGCTAGAATGCTAATCGCACACGTTTCCTGCGATTATGGACCCCAATAAACATGGTATAGGGTAGTGTTAGATAAGCAGCATCTTGCTGCCACTTTCCTCTTATCTTGATTGCTTCTATCCAGCCTTGTAACATTCTTAAAACTGTTTGGTGCTGTGCGAAATGGTGGAGTATTTGTGTGCATGCTCCGTTTGGTTTACTTCCATTTGCAATGTGTTCTGATTGTCCTTATCTATAATGCCATGTCTTCATTTAATAGAGAATGATATAGTGCACTGACCATTTGTCCAAAATCTGAACACTTTTAGGCATGGGAATGAGTTTGCACCTACTGTCGGATTCTTTCTTACTACACACCCATCTGAGGTACTTCTTTCTATTGGCTTGAAGCATGTGTATTGACTGCAGAGAGGCTATTGCAACGAGTATTCTTTATAGAATTAAAATGCATGCTATTCTTTGAGTTATTGAGGGTTCATCACCTGTATGCTAAGGAAAATTGTATTTTTTATATATTTGGGATGAACTGTTGAATTGATCAATAAATCTACTAGATTATGACTCGTGTTTCTTTTATTATATTTCTGCAGGAGGTATCAAATAAGATACTGAATCATAATGTAATATGCTTTATATTTATCTTAACCTTCCATTTTTGTACTTTAATTTTCAAGTATTTCTTTCATTTTCACTTACTAAACAGAAAAGGTGCATTAGCTATAGTATTGTGTATCTAGTTAGTCCATTTGAAGTATTGCATAGCGCATTCTTGTGTTTTGGTATATAATTATTCTGTCCTGCCCATTTCCAAACTATATTGGCTTTTCTTTTTAATCCTAAAGTATAAAGTATAAAGCTTGTGCATAATTTAGATGCTTTTTACTCCCTTTTGCCCTTGTTTATTTTGTGTCCTAAGCATTTGTGCATGACACCCAAACATACTATCAACTCTCAGCTTTCCAGTCAAATTAATTGAATAGTAGGGAATTCATGTCATTTTCTCTTCTGGACCTGTCAATTTGCAAAATCTTAACCTGTGTCCCTGTTCAAATTTTCCTTTTGACAGGGACAAAAGGGAGTACAAATTTTCCTTCTATAGGATGAATACAAAAATAATAACAGCAATAAATGTAAATATGGAAACTGATATATAAAAATGTACTTGGAAGTGTGGTGTAATAATAGAAACTAGAAGGGAAAAAAGAATCAGAGTTAAAAGTAACAAAATCCATTCCATGTTTAAGATTAAGAATCAAAGGTTTCAACTGATGGCACTTAACTATATTTTTACATATATAGTCATCTTCTATTTGGTATTTTCTAGGTGATTGTTCGAAAGTGGGATGTACAAGAGGAACGGCTAATCAAATTGTCAGAAGAAGAGGTGCTATATTGAATACTATTTGAATCTTTTGTCATTGCTGGACCTTCTGTTTATGCTGTCCTGTTCAATTGCTAGTAGCAAATGTGAGATTATGATAATGGATTATTAAACCAACACAACTGTACTGGCAGTGTGAGCTGTAGTGCATTGTAGTGATGCTTGCATGAAACATTATTCATGCTCTACTTCAATTATTCTTGTTTTACTTCTCACTTTTTTTTTTGCACTACATTACAAGATATTCTACTGAATTTAGGTGACAATTACCCAATATATATATGTAGTTAAACAAATTACATTTTGCTATATGTTAGTGTGGCAGCTTCAAATTCTCATATTTTGTCTTTGTGCTTCATGGGCTTATGGCTTCATACACTGTAACCTTTTTGCCCCTAGAACTTCAACCATATAATGCTAACTCATGTTGCTAATAAGGCACCAGATGGATGGACTTGACTGGAATAATGTGACAACAATAACACAGTACATGAAATGTGATTAATTTAGAGAATTCTATGCTCAGCTTGTTTGATTTTGTCTGTTGCCATTGATAAATGATATGTGAAACATGAAGTGGAAAGGAGGATTATGTGTTTGTCCCATTGAAGCTCCACAGATGCTTTTTAGTGATACCAAATTTTGTTTTATGGTAGGATATCAGATACTCAGAAGCTGTAAGACGTTTTGAATTTGATGATCAGCTTGGACCATACAATTTGGATTCTTATGGAGATTGGAAACAACTTTCAAACTACTTGTCACCGAATGTCATTGATCGTCTTGGTATGAGATGTGTTCCTTGCTTTTGTTTTGATTGAATGAGAATTAGTCACATCATGACATGTTTGTTGAGATCAATTAGGGGGGTAGAAAATAACCATGTTTGGTATTTGTCCAGAACCAATTGGAGGAGAAATCACAATTGCGTGGGAGTCATCATGGTTGGATAGAGCCCCCCAAAGTGACATGGAGAGACGTTTGGTCGAACAACTAAGAGAAGTAAAGTTTGCAAAGAATGCTCCTGTGCCGTCTGAGCGGAGAGGATGCTACTACACAAGTATCCCTGCTTCAGTTAAGCATAAGGACATCTCTGGGGGTGACTTGACGGCTCTGAACTTGGACAAAGTAATGTTCTTATCATTTGTAGTCCACCCATATACTCACCACGTTCCAAATTATAGTTCACTTCAGCTTCGTTTCAAAAAAGTCGAAGTTGTCTAACTTTGACCAAGTTTATAGAAAAATGCACCAAAGTCTATTTAGTTTCTTCAAATTTTCCATGAAATATGTCTTGATAGTGCATTTACTTGAACTCATAATGTTAATTTTTTTTTCTAAAAACTTTGTCAAGGTTAGAGAAGTTTGACTTAGGACAAAACTAAAGTGAACTATAATTTGAAACGACTGAGATTAAACAGTACAACAAAGTGCAATCATAGTTTGATAACACAGGGATCAATAGGAATGACACGATACTGATTTCCTTTGGACTTTCATGTGCTTATAATACTACATCTAAAATCTTCTGAATTATAGTACAAGATCCAGATAGCCATGGTAAATTTCTGCTGTTATTGGTTGGTTTGCTCAAAACAATCCCTCCAACAGATGTCACTTGTTAATAGAAGCCCTGATTGTTGAGTTGGCAACTTAATAATTATTTATTCATGAGGCAATTCTACTTCTCAGACAAGTTTGCTGGAGATTGTTTTGACCAAAAATTATGAAGGTGAAGAAGATCTATTCCTGGGGGAGCTTCAGTTTGCTTTCATAGCTTTTATGGTACTACAGACAAAACTAAATATTTGAATTGTTAATGATTTAGGGTGCTAGTAGACTTTTCTTTGATGTATTTGAGTTATGTAGATGGGTCAGTCACTGGAGGCTTTTATGCAGTGGAAAGCACTAGTCAGTCTTCTTTTGAGCTGCAGTGAAGCTGTAAGTAGTTAATTGATGGATAGGATTCTTTTGTGGTATTCCTTTTATTATTACCGAAACATATTTATTCTTGTGCTGAATGCATACATTCTTGTTGTGTCCATTCCACTAGCCCATCATTTATGTTGAAAATTCTCTTGGTTTAATAATTTGTCACATAGGTGCTTTGCTGACGTCAGGACACATGTCCATGAAATTGAGAAACCATGCTTACACATGAAACGGTTCAATCACATTACATAACTTTCTTTTTAAGAGGCTTCAATAGCTCATTAACAACAAAAAGTAGACATTTAGTTTGTGTCTGAACTTCCTTCTCAACACACATCTTGACGAGGTTAAGATACTGCACTTCATGTATTTTCCAATCAAATTCCATGACTATGTTTTATGTTAGGTTTTAATAGCTCATTAGTCATTACCAATAGTGGCCACTGTAGTTTGGAAGTTACTGACCTGCCGACACAGTTAAGAAACATTGCTAAGTATTATAAAATTGGATCCCCAAAATCAAAGTTAGATAACTTGAAAGTGAAATACAGAATGAATAGAAGACCATATATCTGCACTACGAATGGCCAAATGGCTGGTTTCTATGAGGAAACTGCAGCTGTCTTTTTGAGACCTAACCACTTCGTGTGTGTGTCTGTGTGTGCATGTGTGTGCCTGCATGGGATGAACAACACTTGTGTGTGTGCCTGCATGGGATGAACAACACTTAATAGCTAATACTTCCCCTCTTGACTATTTCTTTCTCTGTGACAGATAATTCCATATGCTTATTTGACCCTTTCTTTCTTTATCCTTGGCAGCCCCTTCATACAAGGACTAACATGTTTATAAAGGTATTATCTGGGCGTTCTACTTTTTGTTCATGAGCTCAAGCATGTGTTTAGTAAATTATCTGATGCTAATATAGCAAACCATGGAAACTAACAGATTTCTGTCTGTTATCTGCTTTGTGTTTCATTCAGTTTATAAGGACATTATACTATCAACTCAAGCATGGCTTTCGACATACCCAAGATTCCAAAAGTGGGGATATGGGCAATTCTCTGTGTTTGGATGAAGCATGGTTTTCAAGAGACATATTCCTGTACCGTCTTTCCAAGGTAATTTTGCTGATACAGTGTTGATACACACAGGGATTAAGATCATATTTTTGTTATTTCCTAAATTGAATTATGTGACTAACAGGAATATTATGTTACAAACACGACTAATATACCTTAACAGCGAAATATGAGTAGAGTTAACCATATCTTAGTATGCCAAATTAGCCCCCAACAAGCTACCAATAGCAGAGCTAAGTTCCTAACTTCCTATTTTAAGATCATTCCTACCATATGTGTCTTAGCAATATTTCAAGTTCTACTGTATTGAGTGCATTGGCAGACAGCCAAATATTTTAACTTCACTTGGTAAAGTACGCCCCCTCCCTGAAAGTAGGTTTGTCTAGTTATATCAAATCCCAGGGAATCACTTCTGGAAATGCTGTAGAAGGAAATAAATGTTCAACAACATATTTGGTTGGTTTGTTTTGTTTGGAGTTCATAGTGCAGGACCCTGAAATCCCTAACATAGAATTTTGTAAACAAGAAAATTGTTTTGTTTTCGCCTTTCAATGTTTTAAATGCCTTGTGTATACCTATTTTTTTTCTCGAATATGCAGAACTGCATATCATTGCATTAAGAAGGAGAGAATATCAACAAGACACGCAAACTCACACCACACCTTTACTCAAGGATCCCACACGCACCTGAAACTCAAAAACACACTCGACTAGAACCACTAAAACGACCTTTAGCAGCAGCAGCCAAAATCCGCGCCAAGCCTTTTGCACCAGGCATACACCAGAGGGCCCTTCAAAAATTCTTCTAAGAACAACCTGGACATTTGGTGCAGCACCATTAAAAATACACTTATTTCTGTGTCTCCAAATCATCCATGCTTCCAAGGTGATCAACAAGTTTACTCCACTTTTCCAGTGTCCTGGAATTGAAGTATCCTCTACCTAAATGAAAGACATAGGAGGAAAATATTATGTTAATTTGATATCGTGTTTGGTTCATGTCCATATTTCAGATTTTCCCACCTCAAACTGTTGAGTGAACCAAAGCTTTAAAGAAACACATATCATATTTCAGATTTGCCAACTTCATACTGCTGAGGGCACATGCTGAAACTTGTTTTGTATAATGAATTTGAATTATCTTTGAGTGTGAAATAGTGTGCCTGGAACTACGCCAGCAGCTTAATTAATAATAACTTGGTTACTCGCACCATTGATTTCTCTTAATTGCATTTGCAGGATTTCTTTACAGTTGTATTTGAAGCCCCAGTCGTGGATGGAGACCTTCTGTCATGGGTTGGCATTCCTGAACTGATACTTCCACATGTCAACTATATATACATATTATTATATTATACTTGACACCACAAATCATGCTACCAATTTCTGTATTTTGGACTTAAACTGAGAGCCGGACTTTCTATTTTGTGATTTAAATAGCACAAGAGGACTAGGTTTTGGGCTATTGTGATCCCTGGATTATTGTGCACAACTTTTTAGAAACTTGGTTATATATGTAACTGGTCACTGTAGGATATCTCACATTTCCATCCCATATGCAGGCTAGAAAACTAAAATCGCTTCTGGAGACTACATTTGGGTGGGATCTTGAGGACAATGCAGTGAACCTTATTGATGAAGATGATGAGGTAAATCTGGACCGAGATCAAATGATGTATAGCATTTCTCTGTTACACCTTAGTGAAACTGTTGTTTCCATATTACTGCAGTTTGCTCCTGTGGTTGTGGAAATGGATGGATCATAGGCTACTGAAGTCAGATTCCATGAAACTTCTACTTATGCAGAGAAGCCAGCAGTTGTTCACCCTTTCTACTTTGATCTGTATATTATGTCATGCACAACACTGAGTACTGCTTTACGCTGATCTTGCTGTTAGAATCTTACGCCATCTATACTTATGATCTAGGTACACTGGTGCGCTTACTTTTATGAAGTTTTACTGTCTGTACTTACATTGAATATACGTGCTAATTATCGACTTGGTTTCCACTTGACTACTTGTTTAAAGATGTAGATAATTAAGTAGGCTTGCTTGTTTAATGATCCTGTGGTATCGTAGATTTTGAAGTGTTTGGCCTTTTAATACATGAAGAGCTTGAACTCTATAGCTGCATCAACAGCAGTGTATCTTGGATCCTGGTAGAGCTATGTACTATGCCCAATTATTGGGCATGCTATTGTAGATAATGCAGAGTATATTCTCCGCTTCTTTTAACTTGTTTCAGCTTATTCTCTCTCACAGAACACTATTGAATCATCCAAAATAATCCAAAATCCACTATGCAAGTGAACAGCCGAGCGAGCTGATTTCAATTAATCAGTGGAGGCCGTCTTTTTTTACTTCCTAAAGTGCCCTTGTGGCCTTGTGCCTTGTTCTGTACATCCATATGTGATTTGGACTTATGACTTGTATTCATACGAGATTGAATAACTCGCATCCAGTGATGGTACGAAGTCTGATTTCAAAATGAATCGTGTTTCATCTCAACATACGGACACGTTTGGTTGGAAACTATAAACGCTAGCTAATGCCGGTTCTCTGTATGAGACAGCATAAAAAGGCTCAATGTGTTTTCCCTGTAGAGACACCAATCGAATCCATTTGTGTCGTGCGCTTGATACTGATTCGATCGTGTAAATTGAATTAATCAGATTGTGACTATCCATAATATTCTAATCTTGCCAGCTCATCCCGACAACACACCGGTTGACGGCTCCATCTAAGCTTTTTTCTTTTTTCAAAAAAAGGATCTGAGTTTTTTTTTTCAATAGTAGAATAGAAAGAAAGGTGTGGGCACCCACACCTCCCGTATTCCTGCTCCGTTCTTTGATCCGCCCCTCGCTCATAAAAACAACGTGATTCATCTTCACATCTTGCAGAGTTTTCGTAGCAGTAAAATGGAGTAACCTTTAATTTCGGCACTTGAGGCAGCCATCAACTGCTCAGTCACTACGATTAGCAGATCACCAAGAACCGTCGCTTCAATGGACCTGGTGAGCACACTTTACTTGCATTGGACAGCACATAAACAAGATCGTCTAAAGAAAAACAGACACAGAAAGAATTGATGTAGGTTGTGTACATACATTGGCCGGTCATTGTTCCAGGGCCGATGTGAACTTGTCCTTTTTTTTTTTTTTTTTGCTTGCGTGGTCCGTTCCGTACAAAACTACACGGTAACGGAACAGGTTCCAGTTCTATTAATGTATTTCCCGCGTTATTTTAAAATCCTCACGTTCACTAGGCATACCTCAACAACCTTTACCTGGACAATGCATCACCATCATCACTACAAGAACATAGGAGGGAGGCGATGTCGTTAGGACCTCCGGCACGGGGAGCCATCTGCTTGCTAGCTGCATCGATCGTCGTCCTTAGCACGGTCGGTCTCAATGCCACCAGCTCCGCCGCCGATATCTCACCTGACGATGACTACGGTGAGGGCGGTGGCGGCGACGACTCGTCGTCCTCCTCCTTCTCCTTCACCTTCCGGCCGGAGACGAGTTCACCCGGTCTGGTCTTCGGGTTCTACGACGAGACGTGCCCGGACGCCGAGGAGATCATCTCGTCCACGGTGCGGAAGCTCTACCACTCGGACCCCAACGTCGCCGCCGCGCTCGTCCGCCTCTTCTTCCACGACTGTTTCATCCACGTACGTCATCAAAACAAACAAACTCCATCTCTGCATCTCATCATCTTCCCTGCGACGCCGCTCACACGCGCACACACCAAGACGCTGTCTTCTCCTGTACGAGCGTACGTGCAGGGCTGCGACGCCTCGGTGCTACTAGACCGCGTCGACGGCCGGAAATCAGAGCGCGACGCCGGGCCGAACCAGTCGCTCCGAGGCATCGGCGCCATCGAGGCGATCAAGCAGAGAGTGGAGGCGGCGTGCCCTAGAACCGTCTCCTGCGCGGACATCCTGGCGCTCGCCGCGCGGGACAGCCTCGTCCTCGTCGGCGGGCCAACCTACCCGGTGCTCACGGGCCGCCGCGACAGCGCCCAGAGCTTCTACCACGACGTCGTGGACGGCGGGGGCATCCCGCCGCCGAACGCCACCTACGCCATGACGCTGGCCGCGTTCGCGCGCCGCGGGCGGGAGTTCACGGAGCGCGAGACCGTCGCGCTCTTGGGAGCGCACAGCATCGGGAAGGTGCGGTGCCGGTTCTTCGCGGACAGGATCTACGACTTCGCCGGCACCGGCGCGCCCGACGACTCCATCGACCCGGACATGGTCGGCGAGATGCGCGCGGTGTGCGGCGGCGATGGCGACGACGGCGCGGCGGCGATGGAGATGGGGTACTACAGGCAGGGCCGGGAGGTGGGCTTCGGCGCGCACTACTACGCCAAGCTGCTGGAGGGCCGCGGCATCCTGCGCGCCGACCAGCAGCTCACCGCGGGGAGCACCGTGCGGTGGGTGCGCGTGTACGCGTCCGGAGCGCGCGGCGAGGAGGTGTTCCGTGAGGACTTCGCGCACGCCATGGTTAAGCTGTCGGCGCTCGCGCCGCTCACGGGGTCGGCTGGGCAGGTCCGGATTAGCTGCTCCAAGCCTGTCCAGGACAACTGAACTGTAATGAAGGGGGTAGTATCCATGCTTGCCATTTTACGGTGGGAGTGTACTCGACCGTACCAAGATAACTGTACATTTTCCATTTCGAGAAATCAAAAGGCTTTTTAAACTTAATAACTAAATATATAAAATACTAATATTTATGATACATAATAAATAAATATTATTAGATTAATATTTGAATATATTTTTATAATAAACATATTAGAAGAGATGTTGATAATCAGCCTGTTCAGTAGGCCGTAAACGATCGTTGATTATTTATTGCTGGCTGGTTTGGTGTGAGAGAAAAATACTGATCCAGCTTATAATCCACGATCGTATATGAGCGAGCGAACATGCTGAATATTTTGTATAAATCTTGTTCAAATCTAGAAAAAATGACCTTTTTAAAAATGACAGTCTAATACGAATTAGCTGCTCTAAGCCTGTCCATAAAAATATATAACTAAGTTATACATGATCAAATAAGTATGAAATTTTTACTACAGTTCAGTCATATAATAATTAGTCCACCATTAAAAATTTCACTACAATTGGATCATAAAACTGCAGTTATGAATTAATTATAAAAAAGCATAGATCTAAAGTAACAACAAATAATTTATACTAAAGGATATCATATTATATGTTTACTGTGCAAATCTACTCATGTGGAGTCCAACAAAATTGGATTTTTTTTTCTATTTTATTATTTTTCTCTGATTTACTATGATTTTTCAAAGATTCAGCCGAAATAAATAAAAAAGAAAAAAAAAAAAAAACTGTCTTTGAAAACCGTTTATAACTTGGATATGAGGTGAAACGAATGGTTTTAAAAGTTTAGAGAAGTGGTTTACTTGGTTTTAGAGTTCAGGGAAGAAAAACGGACTTTCGCAAAAATTGAGAAAGGTAATGTGGACTTTTTCTTTATCTATGCTTGCCATTTTATGGTGTCAGTGTACTCAAACCGTACCAAAATAATTGTACATCTTTCTTTTCGAGAAATCAAAAGCTTTTTTAAACTTAACTAAATATATAAAATATAATACTATTTTTTTATAGATATAGAAAAAAATTATAGATATAGAATAAAAAATATTCTATAAAAAAGATAATATTCATGATACATAATAAATATCATTAGATAAATATTTGAATATATTTTTATAATAAACATATTAGAAGACACATATGTTAATCATGTTTTGTATAAATCTTGTCAAATCTAGAAAAAATGACTTTTTTAAAAATTAGATGTGCAGTTATTTTATAAACAAATGAGGCTACAGTATAGTAATCCATGCCTTCTGAACGCTGTTCTTTTAGAAAATCAAAATATTTCTATTTTCTATTTTTTTAAAAAATATAACTTTTTAAACTTGCACCACACTTGCAGAGATGGAACGACGTAAGGTGTGCTAGCACCCATGCACGTCTAGGGAGAAAGGAGGAGGTGACGACGTCTACGGTATGGGGAGGCCAAACCCTGTCTCACTCTTATAACCGGTCAGGGAGTTAAAAAGAATGGTTTTAAAAGTTTAGGAAGGTGGTTTACTTGGTTGGAACTGTTTTAAAAATTTAGGAAGGTGGTTTACCTGGTTTTAGAGTTAAGAAAGTAAAAACAGACTTTCGTAAAACTTAAGGGAGATAATATGGACTTTTTCCAATTTTAATTGGTCACAAGGATTAAAAGAAAGAAGGAAATAACAACTACATGTCGTTCGGTGTGGGATTCCACTCTAATCTATAGGCCTATTAGAAATCTCATGGATCATTATCCTATTTTGGCCCATTCATAGATCTAATCTTAATTATGATTGGCCCATGAAGTCTAAACAAAATTTTAATTAGTCACAAGGATTTGAAGAAAGAAGGAAACAACAGCTACATGTCGATCGGTGTGGGATTCCACGCTCCGATCTTGAGGCTCAAAGCCCTAATTTAGTTTTGAATAATTGATGAAACCTAAGAACTAATCCTTATACTAAGTGTGTAGACATGAAATGATGGTTCTATGCCAAGTAGTGGAGATGATGGTCATGGTCATGGTCATGGTGAAGACCAAACTTGAAGATCTAAGGGCTCCAATTTGGAAAAGAAGAAAGAGAAAAACAAAAACAAGGTTGATCAAGGCAAATTTATCAAATAGGTTTTTATTTTGATAATTAAGACACTATAGAGAGTATGATCACGTTTAGAATCGATAGCTATACTATAAAGAGAGAAATTATTTGGCTAAGCGGTTTATCCAGTGCCACTAGGTGACATAATTCTTGCATATGCATTTATAAACCTAGTGTGCTAACCTTAACCCTTGTAAAATACTTTGAAAAATGTTACACACCAGCACACAAGTTCTATACTTTGTGGTTAGCAACTTGGAAGCAAGGGTAAAACGGTTGTGGACTTAGAAAAAGAAAAGGAAGTGAAAGTGCAGGATCGAACGTTGGACCGGACCCTGCCCTGGTGCGTTCGATTAGTTGCCTGCGCTTTAGGCCGAGAGGGGTGAAAGTGCATCTAGCCCTTTAGTGGGTTTTGGATGATTGAATGACAACATGATTAAAGGTCTAACCCGTTTGCTAAGTGTGAACAGGTAATAGGTTATCTCACAGATACTTAATGAAAAGCCAAAATGATGTGTTGTTGTATAAACAATCTAGTTCAAGCATAAGACAACAATGCAAATGAAACTCATACAAAGGCTTATCTATTGTGGGATTTCATGTACTATGTGAAAGCAAGCTCGTTAGAATTAATTAATGAGACATGAGGGATTGCATATGGAATGGTCTCTTAAGTGAAGCTTGCTAAATTGAAATAAAAAAAAGATAACAATACAAATGAATGGATGATTCAACACAAGATGTGACTTGATGGCTTGAGATGGTGAAGATAGCAAGGAAAGGCTTCGAGGTACTAAGCAAGGGTGAAGGGCAGCGGCGGCTTGGCGGCCGTAGAACCTAGCTAGGGTGAAAAAGAAAGTACTTGCATTTAGTTGAGGTACTAATCAAGCTATGATGGTCATATTGATGTGGAGGATCAAATCTATATTGGACAAGTTGATTAAAGTGGCTTGATGCATTTGGAGTTATTCATATTTGATGAATGGAATCAAGTCACGTGCTCAAGATGGCTATGCTCAAGTGACAAGATCAATATTGACATGTTGGCACCCTCACTTGATGAAGATTGAAAGACACGGCATCAATTTCAAAGAAGATCAACTCAAAAGGTTTAATTTCGTTGTTCTTTTGATCTTGAGTTAATAGGTATGCCGTACTATTAAGAGGGATGCAAGTTTAGGTGGTATGAGGAAGATAGAGTGCTCAAGCATAATAATAAAAATCAAAAGAGAGACACTCTAGCACTTCACGAGCACATAGAATAATTTTCAGGATCGTCGCGTGTCGGAAGTCCCGACGTGGCCGGAACTCCCGACGGTCGGAAGTCATGACTCTTGCCGGAAGTCTTGACTCCCGATCCACGACTGTGCAGATGGCGTGGGACGTCGGAAGTCCCGGCGTGTCGGAACTCCCGACGATCGGAAGTCTCACCCAAGCCGGAGTCCCGCATCGATGGTTCTCTTGACCTCGATCGTGTTGCGTCGGAAGTCCCGGCGTTCGTCGGAAGTTCCGACGATCCGAAGTCCGGCGTCAATCGGAAGTTCCGACGTTATCGCCTCGAGTGGACTTTGACCTCGCATGAACAAAGTTTTTCTTCATACGTCGGAAGTCCGAGATCTGCGTCGGAACTCCCGACGTAGATCTGAACGGTTAGATTTTGCCTTTGTGTATATATACCCGTCTCCTTCATTCTAACCGTTGCCCACTCAATTCATTGCGACGAACACTCGGCCAAAATAGCCCCCAAGCATTCTAGGCTCCCCTCTCTTCACTCCTTTGCTTCCAACTTCGATTCCCAAAGGGTTTGAGTGATTGGAGAGTGGATTGAGTGAGAAAAACACTTTGAGCAAGCTTGAGCACTTGATTTCTTCGCCAAGCCGGTTTGAGTTGCATTTGTTACTCTTGGGGATTTTCCCCTAGCCGGCGAGGCGTCGCCCAAGAGCTTCCATCTTGTGGAAGAGCCTTGGGAAGTTTGTATTACCCTTGTTTTCTAGTGAAGAAACTCAAGTGACCTTTGTGGTATCCCTGAGTGAGGCAAGGAGGTGGAAGAGACTCCGACCTAAGTGGTCACCTCAACAACGAGGACGTAGGAGCTCCTTTGTGGGGCTGCCGAACCTCGGGATAAATTCTTATCTCCCGCGTGCTTGTTGTTGTTGTGATTTGCTCGAAATTACATGTATTTGGTTGTCTTCCTCTCTCTAGCTATTTCTTAGGGTTTGGGCCTCGATCTACGGAGTGGTGGCTTATCAACGTCAAGAGAGTGACCCAACACCTTACCTTATCACTAGGAAGTGGGTTTGTAAGTTATCGGCATCAAAAAGTTCATTTTAGCACTTGCAGTTCATTTTCCGTAGGGGTCGGAAGTGCTGACAGTTTGCGTTGGAAGTTCTGACTCAAACTGTTGGGACTTCTGACACGTCGGAAGTTCTGACCCAAACGTCGGGACTTCTGACACGTCGGAAGTTCTGACCCAAACTGTCGGGACTTCCGACATTAATCGACTAGTGTATTTTGATTCAACTCTTTGGTTGTCATTGCTTTGGCTCCCTAAGTTTATCCAAAGATCTTTATATACTTTGTGGATAACTTGTGAGGGGTTGTATTACTCTAATTTGGAGTTTCCATTGTGGAAACTCCTATTACTAATTGTTTCCGCTTTTAAAGGTGTTGATTTTTCAGAAACGCCTATTCACCCCCCCTCTAGGCGACATCCTAGATCCTTTCAATTGGTATCAGAGCGAGGTTCTCACCTAAAGCTTCACCGCCGTGAGAAAAGGATGTCGACGCCTATCGAGTTGGAGCCGGTGCTTCTCCAAAATAATGGTTCAAACTTTCTACCTTGGTCAATTCATGTACTCAATGCTTTTAGAGATATTAGTCCTCTTGTTGAGC